CCCTTCCTCCTACTTGGAAGAAGTAAGTACTCGCCTCGGTACTACCCCCCACCCCCCCCTGTTTTCTGTCTTTTCATACAACAATTTGTTGGCAAATTAAAGAATGGCTTCGCTAGTGTTGCTTCTGGAAGCACTAATTGTCAGATCTCATGAGGAAATGAATTTGCAAGGAAGAGATGATGTGTCTCATGAGGAAATGAATTTGCAAGGAAGAGATGATGTGTTGTTTTTCGATGATGGAGAAGCAGGCAACAATAATAGTAACACTAGTTTGGTTTCTGGCAACAAGGATTACTATTACTATTGTGGGTGGGTATTTGAGGCTGAGGATGTTCCTAGCTGGAAGATCATATCTCAGAGTTGTATCTGGCCCTAATAAAGAATCCCAAATACAGACATTTCCAAGTGTATATATGTCAGTTGTTGCTTTATCCTGCTCTAATCATAGTGTCAAATCTAATGTCATTGTCAAGAAATGGAAGTCGGATCCTAGTGTCCAACTTAGTCCATTACTCCCCTGCAGCAAGCATGAAAATAGGGCCAATTTTTATGATATGAATTTGAATGTGATGTTAATTGAAAGGGCAGCCTAAAATAAAAACTAATCCACTACTTATACTAGTCTCCTATGCCTTAAACTTCTCCTTCTCTGCCTTGTGTTCTCTCTTTTTTTTTTCTGTCTTTCATTAATTGTCATTGAGAATTGAGCACAATATGATTGGTTTTGGTTCAGAAGGTTAATATCAAAAACTATATGAGAGAGCGCAAAATTAAGGAGATTATAAAAACTTACAAGCGCAGTAACTAAGCCAAGAAGGCAGCTCGATGGAACAATCAAGCTGCAATTAACACCATTCGAATGACCACGAGTTGTGATTCTGACTAAATGTAACCCCTTCAGAAACAATATGATAACGGCACTTCAAAGAATTAATACTTCAACAACATGTATATCTACAGCAAAAAGGTAAACTTGGAAGAATAACATATATCATACGAATTGCAGGGCAGGGGATACCGTGAGGCTAACATTTTGGAGAAAATAATCAAACTATAAGATGCATCTTTTACAATAAAATGCGGTACATAATGTATTCTTTATTCAAATTAATAAATTTGTCGTTTGCCTAGCAACAACAACATCAACAACGGAGACGATAACGGGTATATGCAATAAGAATGTTCATACGTGATGCACACAATAGAGGTACTGCTACTTAAAATTTATGGTGGATACATATATATAGGATAAGTTAAATTTACTAGTACTAGGGATGTATGAGCCAAGAATTGCCATCAATATAATAGGTGCCAATAAAAGGCATGGCCTCTTCATCGGTAAGTATTCGCGCCCAGGGCACTCTTCCTGTCATGTTGGCTCCTGGTCCACTGCACCTGTATTCTCCGTAGTAAACTCTCCTACATCCAATTTTGACATTGTTTTTTATACTTTGGCAAACCAATTTGAAATTTAAAAGACAAGTACAAAACCAAAAAAAAGGAAAAAAGACTTACGAGTCTCGACTTGTTTTGCCCCAATCGCTCCATCCTAGGGGAAGAACAATCTTGTCCATGTAAGTGTAAGAAAAAATCACTCTGGAATAATCACCCCAGGCTCTTCCCAAATAAACAGAACCAGTCCCTGTTATTGTGCTGTTCTTGAACGAGAATCCACTTAATATTGACGAATTTGTTCGCTTTTGCGCTGTCAGAGACGCTACTTTCTTTGCCACCGAGTTCAAATGGCAGTTCTATTCATAGTAATTAAAAAAATAAAAACAAAATTAATACTACTAAGTTTGTACTCATCGCTACAAAAATCCGGTAAACGTAGACTACACGCGTATTGACTTGAAGTTCTAGATCTGCCTCTGCTAATAATTACTAATAACTTATGATTTAATGAGTAATTCTTCGGCCTCCCTCCCTCCACATCCGATCCCACCAAAAAAGAGTATAATTCGATCACATGCATATCATTCTATGTTTTGAGTGCACATCGTTGTTGTTTTCAAGGATAACTAAACTTATGTTAAGTTTATAGTATGGTTTAGTGTAAATATGAGACGTTCCGTCACTGTTTCATTTACATAACTTCTTTGGAACGGCCTAATTTTTTTTTTTTTTTTTTTTTTGGAACGGCCTAATTAATATCAAGAAAATGTATCTTTCAATAGGTGAGGACAGTGGGGTAATAAAACATGAGAATTGAGGAAATTAAGGTGAACTAACCTCATAGAGGGATCTGCCATAGCCGAAGATGAAATCAACAGAGCCTTGAATGAAGCAATTATTGAAATAGTGGAGTCCCTTGTGATCGTAAAGGGTATCTTGACTCCCGTAGAAACTGCAGTCGTAAAAAGCTGCCTTGTTCCCCGATATTCTCAGAGCCACTGCTTGTTCTCCCACCGACCCTACCACATGGGGTGCTGTATTCTACAAAACCAAAATGCTTGCTCTTGATTACTGCATTGCCAATCTCCTTTAGTGACGTTAATTATATTAATAAAATGCAGTTAATTTTTATTGCGCTACAATTACAAAAACTCAAAATACAGAGGACATATAATTTTGTCAGGGAATCTTTGCACAAATAGCACGTCATATTCATTTTTTATTTTTTCTAGTCATATACTTACATTGTACATTGATTATATATAACTATACACACATAATACATATAATTATATCTTTACCGGCTATTTTTAGTTTAAGCAGTTGGATGGGCGCCTATTTGGGTTAATTCTTCTTTTGTGTATTGTCAATTTATGAACTGCGAACTGCAATTCGCCCTTGTCTTTGATTGAGATACTAATATGTTCAAATGTTAACAATAGTTATATGCTAACGTTGTTTCTTTTTTTGTTTTATCCATTGGAGTGTTGATGATAGGC